TCTGGCCTTTGATTCACTTCTCGTTGTCAATGAAAATGTGCCAGCACAAATGAGACAAGAAATCTTGGAAGAAAATACACAAGAAACTCATATATTCTGCATCTTTAGCGGATCGGACAGCAGATCAAGAATTCCTGATTTGAACGGTATGGGGGGCATTCAGAAGTTTGTACATACAAGTTACTGCATCCCACATTTTTCGGACTATGTCGAAGAGTCCCAGGAACTCATCATTGACGTTCTGTAAAGAAATTAGATCCCTTCTTCATTAGAGAGATTTTACAAGAGAAAAAAGCTGTGGGGAAAATCTAGACTACTGAGTACTAACGAGACAAAATGTTGATCCCGGAAACTCGAAATACGTGTGTCAAACCTCCTGAGGTTTAGAAGATTGTATGGGGAAGGGTTTATTAGGGAGTCTATGGAATACTATAAACACTTATACACGAAACAGAGGACCAAGAAAAGAGACGATACCCCAGCACTATAGGAAGACAGCGATACCATGTAACTAGTAGGAGACAATTGTTGTGAAGCTAAGGTATTCTCAAATTACTTTAGCGACGTCTGTACCCTGCAGACGCTCTCTTCAGTTTACGTAACTTCCCCCCCACACACACACTCTGGACACTGTGACCATTAGAGAACCCGATATCTTTGGTCTGCTGATTGAGCTTGAAATAGGCAAATCAACGAGACCCGATGAGACGCGCCCTAGATTACATTATTTAAATGATGGATTTGATACTGTTAGTGTCAACAACAAAACTGTGAAAAGCACCACCGAACAAATATAACCGTTTTTGGATATGAGTTCAATTACTGGAAATTTTAGGTAAGGATAATATGTGACTATCAAGACCTCGCGAATTGATAAGATCGCAATTACAGAGTATGTTATCACTAGTAGCGAAATGAACGGTAGTTCTACAAATCAACTCGATGTGTTTCATTCCACAACACTCGGAGCATATAGTATGACGAAGTGCACACGAACTACATGAATGAATTTTACCACATGACGAACATTTACCGAACTCGTGCTCACCCTTGTTTACTGCCTTGCAATTCTTCTAGAAATTGATTCTCATGTTTTAACGCAAATGGGGATAATCGTTAATTGAACGCCTGTCCATATGAGCTTGAGTACGAATGGTATTAGGACAACTAAGTACTGTAGTGAAATTCTTGATATCCTGGAATCGAGCTCCCTTCTTCCGAATATATCGGTTATTTTCATAATATGTTTTCAAACCCGTTTTGTCCATAACTCATTTTGTGACTAAGTTTTGTATCTTTCATTTATAAGCCTTTTGTGAGCGAAAGCGGTGTCAAACACTTAATATTGAGGACATTCCTAAGAATCTTGAAGTTTAGTGCCGTGTGAATCATCATTCAGAGTCCTATCTTATGTTTTATATTTATTATTTATCTCCAAGAGAAACTCAGTTATGCGGCCTACCTTTTTGTTGACGGATTAAAATCATGAATAGATATCAATTTTAAAGTGTTTAGAAAAATTAAGAGATATCTCTAAACACTGTAAACTCAAACAAGTAGAAATGATTAAATTTCTACCTTCTTAAATATCATATTTGTAATGGCAATGAACCCTAACCACACTACCCTCAAAGCTAAACACGAAACAACTGGGAAAATAGATATTCAACATTTATCGCGGAGAAAAACCCAGCGATGGAGAAGGAAGGAACAATGAGTTGAATGAATTCAAAGTGATCTGATGGCATGGCTCGGCCGTGCAGGCGTGGTCTAACTTGTGTAACATTATTTTTATCCATATTAACCATATTGTTCTGTATCCAGTGTGAGCGTGTTCTCTATCATATATTAGTAATTGTTACGATATGATGAATCAGTGTAGACAATGATATGACTTGCACGTAGGGTCTTATAGATTAAACAGTTACATCATGACAAATTTACAGTTTTAGGATCGTGTCTATTGTTAGAGCAGCACCAATATCATAGTAGACCATAGTTCTAGGAATTGCACAAATCTATATTCTTGACAAAGATGGACGGATAGGGCCATTTTTATTTACGAACCAGTCGGTATATCAACTGAGCCTGATGTTTGCCTGTTACTGAGTAAAAAATTATCAATCCAATATGAATTCAAAATATAATAAGCTATATTTATAGGCAATAGTGTTGATTATACGGACAGTTGAATTGTTGAGTCTAAGTATATCAGTGGTATTCGGAGTTTGAATTTTTTACACATAACGCCCTTATAATTGAAGGATATCAGTTCAGTTAAACCAGAAGTCAGAAATTTAGGAGTCCGAAGATATATTTCGAAAGCTATTGATATATCGATAGATTTGGTTTAACTTGGCTAATAGATGAAAGGGATGTGTAGCACGACGTACCTACTCGTGATCTGGTTCTATCGCCTGAACGAACGCCTTCAGCTAGGGTGTTTTCAGTAAATATAGTGATGTCAGCGTAACTGTTTAGTTTGAGAATCTTTCGTGCCTTAAGGTAACCCTCGTGCTATTGATAGAAGGAACCAGACAAGTAGTGAATAGGTCTTTATTTCGATCTTAGCGCAGTCACAGTGGAGCGTGGGATTACCTGTTCAGACAAACAAAAGGCTCTCAACATTCAATATAAGATAATAGGGAATATAACGCTTATACAAAATAAGGAAGTGAATGAATACTTGAACAATACTGTTTTGGCATGTGCTTGGTTGTTTGGGGTCAACTGTTAACCAACCAACCTATGCTGTTACAAATCTACTTATCACTACATCTCACCCACCCTAATAGGGTGGTGATGGCCTTAAGATGTGGACGACCGAAAGTTTAAACCTGACGAGCTTGCATTTGGTGAACACTCTTCTGATAGCTCTTATGTCAAGCAGCATGCGGTTGCCGTTCCTTGACTTAAAAATCCATGTGCTATACTCACTTTCTTACGCCTGTTACTCCCAATGGAGCATAGACGACCGACCAACATTCTCCAACTCATTCTGTCCTGGGGCTTCCTTTCTAATTCTATCCAATTTTTATCCATTTTTCTCATATCTGTCTCCATTTCTCGGCGTAATGTGGTCTTTGGCCTTCCTCTTTTCCCTCGGCCTTGAGGACTACATGTGAGGGTTTGCCTTGTGACACAGTTGGGGGCTTTACTCAATGTATATCCTATCCACTTCTGGCGCTTCTTCTTGATTCATTCCCCTGCTGAAACCTGGTTTGTTCTCTCCCACAATAGATTGTTGCTGATAGTGTTTGGCCAACGGATCGGAAGTATTTTGCGTGGACAACTGTTAATAAACACCTGTATCTTCTTGATGACGGCTTTCGTAGTCCTCCAAGTTTCCGCCCCAGTAGACAGTAGAGCTGTCTTGATATTTGTATTGAAAATCCTGACCTTGGTGTTGGTTGACAGTGATTTTGAGTTCCAAATGTTCTCCAGCTGTATATATGCTGCTCTTGCTTTGACGGTCCGCGCCTTCACATCTGCATCAGATCCACCGTGTTCATCAATTATGCTGCTCAGATATGTAAAGGTATCTACATCCTCCAACTCTTCTCCGTCAAGTGTGATTCGACTGTTGCATGCTGTGTCGTGTAGAAGAATCTTGCTTTCCCCTTTGTGTATATTGAGACCTACTGCCGCTGAGGCTGCTGTTAAACTGGTCGGCTCCTCCTGCATTTGTTGTTGCGTGTGTGATACAAGAGCCAGATCGTGCAGTTGCGTCCTAGCTGTCCACTGTATCTCCTGCTTCCCCTCAGATGTTGACATCTTCATGATCCAGTCGGTCATCAGGAGAAGGATAAACGGTGAGAGTAAGCAACCTTGCCTGACACCTGTCTTTACTTCGAACAAGTCTGTCAAGTGTCCTCGATGCACGATTTTGCAGTTCAATCCATCATAGGAATTCCGTATGATATTGAATATCTTCTCAGGCACGCCGTAGTGTCCAAGAAGCTTCTATAGTGTTGTCCTGTCTATGCTATCAAATGCTTATTCGCTAAAAACACTGAGCGAGCACATTTGGTATAAAATAACAAAATAACATGTGAATTTCGTCAGTTTTCTCGTCTTGTGTGATCGTCTTACGTGCAGTACTTGTTAAAGTGTGTAGGATTTATTTTGTCCTACAGATATACTACTAGAAATGTTAACGCAATATTGACGACTCAGAGTCTATACAAAAGCTATAGTTAGAAAATGGACAACTTGGCTTTTGACTTTATCTGTTTCTGAACGCAAAAATTAACCGATTGGTACAGTAGTTAAAGGAATTATAGTCATTAGGTGAAAATCATAAACATACCTACCAGTATTGCGTGTCTTATCGAAATGAATAAAAATTATGGGTCATATAATAGTACAGTAATGTCCTTCACTTGGAAGGTCACATGCAGCAGGGATAGTCTACAGACACATCAGACGAGATGACGTGGCAGGGGTTTAAGTAACGATTCTATTGGTTGGTTATGGGCCTAACTAACAAAGCGTTCTAGAAAACTTACTCTTCCTCTAGAGAACGTTGTTTTGGGTCGGTCATCGGATGTTAGAAAAGTTTATCTGCGGTCAACAATTATTAGCTATGGCAGTGTGGTCATCGAGTTTCTATCGTTCTATTGTTTAGGAGGGAAGTCAACATAATTAAGGTTTCTTTCTAAATAAGTGACTTTAAGGTATTCTATGCTAATGTAATCGTGAGTTCCACAATTGGCTTGAACCGCTTATTGACCAGTCCACCTAATGCTTACTGTAACGGCGATCTTCTCGTTTACCAATGACATAGTGACCATGAAAAAAACATCTCGGACCTTAATCCTCAATGTCCTGTGGTTCCATCCGAATCACTGCCTAAATAGATAAAAACCTTTAGGCCGATGGTGTTGCTTATTGAGATTCTTCGTGTTATGATGTTTCTGAATATGACGACTTCTTAAGTTCGACAGCAACATTTAGTTTGAAACTTTCTTGACCTTTGCGCGAAATTCACATCAAGGACGATGTCACTGTTCGAGTCTTATGAGAAACAGTATGGAAATCTGACTAGCGACATAACATTCAAGCTAGGAAAAATTCCCCAGTTGAGTGGTGGTATGTTCCGTAAAAGATTTTAGACTTTTGATTGATAAACCATTAACTTTATCTACTATGTCAGGTGAAAGGGCGAAAGAAGTACACGATGTGTCAATACTTTTTGACGAGACGAAGGAGTTAATTGAACAGATGTCTCTGGAAGTTCAGGAAATGCGATCTGACATCCGTCCCAAATTTCAAAATAGGCTTGAGTGTTACCGAAAGAATTAGGAAAACTCACGACAGAATTCGTAAGCATTTTTCTAGTACTTAAATATTTTCAACATTTTCTGCCTTTTTTCTTATTTTATTTCTCATTTGGCTTGCGATTCTTTATATCTTATGTAGTTGTGCTTCAGTAATATGGCTACTCTTGTACATACAAAAGTATACTGTGTAGTGTACTCTTAGGTTTATTCATTCTAGAACTAGTAATAATTAAAAACTTATATCTGCACGCAAATTGTGTTTAAAAGATCTATTGTAAACAATCGCCTATTGACGAGCATTAATTGATAGACATCCTGCACCCCACATAATGGTTCTATCAGCTTGTGTCAAGAAATAATGACTGTAGTCGTTCGACTTGTATAACTTTTCAGGAAGTATTTTTCTCTCAACCCTCAAGAGATAGTTTTTTTCTGAACGAATTTCACATATAAAATGTAATTATTGCTATGAAGTCGGGAAAACTAGAGGACACCTGGATGAAAAAATCTTATAGACTGCCTGCAAGCAGTTGGTAAATCACATGTGATTTAATGCATTTAGGTGGATATTTTAGTATTCCGGCACAACGAACAGATAATGGTGATCGTCTGCTGCAACTATGCTCAGACAATCGTTTATTTTTAGCAAACACAAATTTTAAGCATAAGGAGAGACATCGTCTAACATGGCGACCCCCTACACCAAACCAACGATGGACTCAAATAGACCATATTGCCATCAGTCATCGTTGGAGAGGGTCGGTAGAAGATTGTCGCTCATTCTGGAGTACCTGCTTGGACTCCGACCATGCCCTAATACGGGCACGCATCTGCTTGCGCCTCACTGGACGCAAAAAAGCCACATTAAAAAGACCCATTAGAACTGAGTTGAGTAACGAGAAAACCAAAAGTAGGTTCCAGGAACAACTGAGGTCACAATTAGGTAGTTCTGAAGACGAGGCTGACCCAGATGTTGCTTGGAAAGATACAAGCAGCTGTGGAAACAGCAGTGACATCTATTAGCGACTTAAACCACAGAGTTACAAAAAACCAGTGGATTTCTTCAAAGTCTATCACACTGATGGATTCTCGCAAACTCGTCCCATCAGGTTCCGAACATGATGAAGAGCGACAACAAATCAGATCTAGGTTAAGAAAAAGTCTAAGAAACGACCGTGAGCAGTGGTGGGCAACGAAAGCAAAAGAGATGGAAAAGGCGGCGACTATAGGGAACACAAGACAGCTTTACAGACTAATAAAAGAAACTGGAATTAATAAGTCAAGTGTAAGTGAGATTATTTCGGAAAAAGACGATACTCTCATCTGCTCCCAGTCCAGACGTTTAGAACGATGGGCGGAACATTTCAGAGAACAGTTCAGCTGGCCTTCAGCTACTCTACAACTACCCTCCATTCCCAGACAGTGTGAATGGAACATTGAAGTAGGTCCCCCAACTCTTGCTGAAGTTCAAAAGGCTATAGTTAATCTGAAACGAGGAAGGGCAGCTGGTCCAGATGGACTGGCTCCAGAGGTCTTTAAGGATGGTGGTCCAATTTTAGCGATTAGGTTGACTAATATTTTAGCTAAGATCTGGGAATTAGACGTTATCCCATCTGACTGGTCACAATCACTTATCGTCCCAATATATAAGAAAGGGTCAAAATCATCCTGTGACAACCACAGAGGGATTAGTTTAACTAATATAATATCTAAAATACTAGCCTCGATAATTATCAGACGCCTAACTAAGACTCGTGAACTGCAAACACGAGAGAACCAAGCTGGCTTCAGACCTGGTCGTGGCTGCATCGACCACATATTCACCATTCGTCAGATTCTAGAACACAGGCATACTTATCGGCGTCCGACAATGGTGGTCTTTCTCGACTTAAAAGCAGCATTTGACTCTGTAGACCGCGAGATTCTGTGGCAGTGTCTGTCATTGAAAGGCGTACCTCAGAAGTACATAAACCTTGTGAAGGCTCTTTACTCGAACACTACTAGTCGAGTCAGAGCTTATGGCGAACTGTCATCTACTTTTGCAACCTCAAGTGGTGTCCGTCAAGGCTGTCCACTTTCCCCATTTTTGTTTAACTTCATCATAGATCTGATGGAAATAACTTTCTCGTCGACTGAATTCTCGGGTATTGATCTCCATCCAGGAGGTCCACTTATCGACTTAGAATACGCAGATGACATAGTCCTGTTTGGTGAAGACGCTGACAAAATGCAGAGTCTTTTGGTAGCACTAAGCAACAATGCCAGAATGTTTGGAATGCGCTTCTCTCCCTCTAAATGCAAGTTGTTGCTTCAGGACTGGTCTGCGTCAACACCTGAACTAAGGATAGGGAGTGAAGTAGTCGAACGCGTTGACAACTTCACTTATCTTGGAAGTCTGATCAGCCCTAATGGGTTGGTGTCTGACGAAATCTCAGCACGGATTCGAAAAGCTCGTTTGGCTTTTGCCAACTTACGTCACCTATGGCGAAGGCGAGATATCCGTCTATCAATAAAAGGACGAGTATACTGCGCGGCAGTCCGTTCTGTTTTACTTTACGGCAGCGAAACATGGCCTTAAGAGTAGAAGACACTCGTAAGCTACTAGTATTTGACCACAGATGCCTTAGAAATATTGCTGGCGTCTGCTGGGATCACCGGGTAAGTAATAGTGAGGTTAGACGCAGGGTATTAGGGAATGATGGTAAATCAGTTGATGAGGTTATGAATCTTCATCGACTGAGATGGTTGGGCCACGTGTTACGTATGCCTGAACACCGATTACCACGACGTGCAATGCTATCCGGTATTGGAGATGGTTGGAAGAAAGTTAGGGGCGGCCAAACCAAAACGTGGCATCAGTGCTTGAAGTCACTAACTTCTAGTCTGAGCCATGTTGGTAGATGCAGACTACTTGGTTGGGGTCCGCGTGACTTTCGTAACCAATGGTTGGAGACTCTTGGTGACATGGCTCAGAATCGATCACAATGGCGTCGGTGTATACACTCCCTGTCTTCCCTTAAACTAAGAGATTAAAATCACTTCATATCTTTCTTTCTACGAACCAATTCTTTCTTCTTGTACTATATCTCTATATGCAATCTTCCTCTTATTTATTACCACCTTTGACCTAACCACTGCTATGAATCCGGTGTTCATCTTGTTGTGCTGATGCGGTATGGCAACCTGGACCGATGCACATATGTGCCTGGTCCTACGTTGTAGCTGACTGACTGACTGATATATATATGCAATAAAAAAGCAAAAGAAAAAAGTAGATACACTTCTTGTATGTGGATCATAATTTGCCTTAGTTCGGAATTATATACAGGGTTTCCATCACGAACTGACATCAGCTATGAAGCCAGAAATTTATTTAGCCAAATGGATAAAGGCTTTCACACCAAAATCCAAGATCTGTTATCTTATACCTGATTGACTCGTCCATAAACTATAGTCTCGCAGCTTTATTTGTTATAGCCGCTCAATCATCACGTTTTGTACAAAATTACCTGTGAGTCGATCGTATGTTAGCATTAAGCACTGAAGTTGGCGCCGTGACCTTGAAATCTCAGACACTTCTGATCGGCTCGTCCATCAATTAGAGTCTCGCCCATTTATCTAATTTTTTCTGCAGTATACTAGAGATCATTCGATAGTTTGACTCATCCCAGCCACCTTCCATATGCTATACGGGGCGATGACAATAATCATTCTTGAATCATTTGCAACCATTGGCTAAGACCACGTTCCAAAGTTATCTATCAGGCTTATGTAGTCCTTGTCTTGACACAAAAATCAATAGCGTATAATATGCGACTCAGGGTATTGTTTGTAAAGTGAAAGAATTTTCTAACTTTATTATGTTCCTAAAATTGCTTTTCATGCTTTCGGCTTGCTGTTCTTTGTTGACTGACTGATTTGATGAGACATTCGAGTCATTAATTACAGAAATATCTGTGGTTTATGTATTCAGTTATTGATCGATGCCTCGGCTTAGCCGTATAACTGAATACCTCATATTTACCACCCTTATGTATCTTTCGTATAAGTTGTTACGTATTTGTACAATATTAAGCATAAAGATACTGGACCTCTCATCATGCAACCGCATCAGTCCTAGTACACGGATATAATGAAAAGCATAAACTTAAAATTGTCAAAATGTGAAGTACTTCTAAAGAACTAAAAGGAACCCGTTGCAGTGCTCACAACGTTTAACAAGCCACTAAAGATATTCTCAGGTTCGTGTAAATGGGTAGCTTTTAAGTACTGATTATGGTGGCAGACGGAATCACTCTGCATGCAGCCAAAATCAAAACTATTTGTATCCATAAGACCTACCTAAGGGTTCACCGTAAAGTTTTTCTAGTCACTAGAGACTAAGTGCACAAGTGCGTGGTCTAGACAGTTGTATTAATTGAATTTTAAGTCTAGTCTCCGAACCGAGGATTTTTGAGTACTCTCTGTTTCCTATCATCATTATCTCATAAATAATAGTTGTATCCAAGTTAACGTCGTGTTTGTAATTCTGAAGTTCTGTAATGTATGTCTAAGGAGTGGTAAAAGTCTCAGAACACTGTTGTCTTTGGTTTAGTGATGTCTAACGTATAACTCAGCGTCTCCATATCGTTTATTGTTTGAGGACGCTAGGATGGTGAGAAAAGTAGTAGGTACTAAAGTTATGAAATACCATACTATATTGAAGTGTTTGTGACTCATGGACGCTAACTTCGTGTGACAAAATGACCAGTTGAAATCTGTTCAGTACTAATAACCTTGAGTCAACTGCTGAGTTCTTATTGATCGACCACTCTCTGACTTCTCTCCACTCTGTAATTAAGCCCAGAAATCAGTGGCCAGCTTCAACTATGTATGTTTCAGACATATATTTTATAAACAGGTAGACCAGACCGTATCACGCCATAAAATAATAAACAATGATTACATATGAGCAAGCTGAAAGTGGCCGCGAGTAAGGGAGACTGTGAATAATAAACTAGCGTCTTGTTTCTTACGACAAGCTATTCCCCACACTCTGCCCCATATTCATCATCACAGAAAACAGTCCATATTTTTCAAGACTGAACTTTATTGTTTCCTTTGGTTGTGATTGTAGCGAACTGGTTTCGTTTTATTTTGTATAAAAGATATCTATTTAACAACAGCAAAATGCTCCGACTCAACCTTATTTGCAGATGTTTTCATACTGCTTGATATATTGTGCCACTGATCACGTGTATCCCCATATCACCAAATATTCTAATTATTATGAATAGGCTTATGGTCCTTTTTTCTCGGACCTGTTCCTTTCTCATGGTTTCTCTTGTGGAGTTGGTTCTAAACACCCAGTTTGATAAGTGTTAGTTACTTTCAGCAAATGTTTCAGCTGAATTTAGAATTTTCAATCACGTCTTTCGTTTAGTTACATTCTCATACATATTCAACAGGCTGATTCTGTGCTATAATGTCATTTTAAGGTTTAGTTGATGAAACCGTCGGATTATAGTATGTATACCGACACAGTCAAAAATCATATACATTCTGGTTAGTATACCATTCACAAAAAATTCAATGCAAATAATTTTTTGGAATGTATACGAGTGCTATACTTTCTGTAAACTATACGTTTATGACACTCGCTAACATGGTTATGTTTTTTATTAAATAGGCCTTCAAACATAGTTAAAAGTTAGTAATTGCGTCGAAGTTAATCGATCTCTTAAAATTATTTTCCGAAAATTGTATGAAATGTATATTGAATTAAGAACTATTTTCCATTTCTTATAGACTTCGGTTATTTATTATATATTATATTTTGGTGCTGAGCTAATCGACTCCTTAAATAATATGCAATATGCTAACGTACCATTCAATTTTCCTTTGCATTATTTCTTCTACTTTTTCAAGCGGCGACCGCGGTATGCCGTTCGGCGCCCTGACCATAAGGATTCATGCGGTTCCGATGATGAGGACAATTTACACGAAGAGGTTTTGTTCGATACAGACATGAGAGCTCAACTTCTGAGCAACACTGAACGAATATCTCGGACTACTACCAAATTGGAAGATGGTGTGCGAGTTGCTTTGGAAACAGAAGAAGTAGGTGGTCATATACTACAAGACTTAAGCGAGCAACGAGAAAAACTTCAAAGAAGTAGAGACAGGGTGAGTTAATTCGGTTTTTTATCATATTTTATTGTTATCCATTATCATTATAATCGACCTGTTTAGCAGTTTACTTCTCTTCAAAATTTGGCAATTAATTGTAATTCAGTATATGTATTTGTCTAAACTGAATTTTTTTAAAAAGCGAAACAAGTGAATAGAGGATTGATAAAAGTTAAGTAATATTACACTTTTCGTAGTAAAAAGAGTTAACTATGGATCAATTACCACAATTATTTTGAAGTGGATTCGTAATTTTCTCGTATCTGCATCTCTGATAACTGACTAATACTGTTTATTATTCAGCAACCTGTTAAATAACGTTTACTTAATCATATACCGATGGATATATGGTATACATTTACCAAAAACCTCGGACTTTCATGTGAAGCATAACTCACATCTCTTGTCAAAATTAAATTGGTGTATTGTCTGTGTTACAACATCACAAGATGTATCTGGATAACCAGAATCAGGCCTTACCTGTTGCCACTTACCAATATGTCCTAATGGTGTACATCCTTTGTTCTCAGTCCCAGCCTAACGTCAACATAGTCTACTTAATCATCTTAGTCAATCACTCAACACTGATAACCCTTTATTTCTTCTTAATCACTTAACATAACGAGAGCGTAACTGTAGGTGTAATGTAGACACTTATAGTGATGAAATCGTGTTGCCCCGCATCTCATTAAAGGAAGTGATAAAAATCCAACTCCTTCAATATTTAAGATGAGTGATTAGTATTGTAGTTCAAGAAGCATTGGTCTTACATATCTGAAGATCTCTTTCATCTTTCTTTTGTCTTCAATGGTCTTGTGTACTACTTCGAGGATTTATTGACTTAAGGAGACACTTGATTGAAATCTCAAGAGAACAGAATTTTCGTGGTAGTTTACACTGCGGTGCATTTTACCCGAATGATGTTGAAAATATGTGTTAAATAGTGATTAGTAGTCAGAAGTTATATTATCTTTACGAATTCATCCTATTAAGTAGCTTTTTACAGCCCATTTAATCAGGAGCATTGTGAAAACTTGTTTATTATCCTTCACTTTACTTTCACAGCTTCGTCAGGCAGATTCTGATCTGAAAAAGAGCTCTCGAATACTTTCAGTAATGACTCGCAGGTAACTATCATTTCTTATATTTTCAACAAGTCATAGGCATTTTCGTTCAGAGACAGAAACTTTGTTAGTTGTTTCACATATTACGCGCCTTTAACCTATTTACTGACCAGTTTTTCTTCTAATGCATGGATTTGTTACTCATAACAAATTATCCACGTTTATGGTCCAGAGTTTTTGTTGGGATTTGATAGAGAAATAAAATCATGTGTAATATTTCCTAGTCCCTTTAGTTTCGCCAGCTCATAGATTGAGGCTTTGTACAGTTATAGAACTTAGTTCTGTACAGCTAGAATCTGAGGCCATTCTTCTTGAGAGCAAACTGAAAGGCAATGTAGTGAAATAGGTTTTTGGTATATATGGTGCTAAACTATTAAGGTTATGTAAAACGAAACCTATGTGAACTGTCTATAGTTACTTAGTACTTTTGTGAAACAGATAGTTACTTACGAGGTTCTACGTTGTAACAGATACTGAGTATGAAGTATGAATATTATATTGTGTAGAGGGAGTTAAAAAACACGTTGTATGGATCCTTTTTACTGCTCCATTACATTAAGACTTAAAACTCTTTAGACATTTATATATATTTGCCGCATTTATTGTGGTGTTTTCAAGTGAATTAATACCATGTCACTTAGTTTCGTTTTTAACGAGGAAGGGTTATGATACTTCAACAAATCTTTCAATGTTTATACATACATGGGCCTACATATTTCATACCAATTATAATCTTAATTTCATAATTTCTTATCGCATACTATAAAATAAATGAATAAGTACATGTTTCAGGATGTCAGTAAGGGATCATTACTGTTGTGCGGATTATGTTGTTTGTTTAAAAATATTCGAGCGTTATTTGCCAACTTCCTTATCTTGAAAATCACTACTGATTGAGGCTAAGAGAATAGCAACAGGCACAAAGCAATCAGAACAGTTAACAAATTACAATGCTTAAATTCTAGTTCAAATCATAGAAAGTTGGGTAGCAGTATCACACAAAACGTTGCAGTAGCAGCTCCATTCCTTATCTTGTATTAGAGAAAAGTTAGTCGTTTATAGTTAGTATTTTTCTTTTTTGAATTTTTCTAGTCTGCATTTGACAGTCATCTGCTTAATATTAAATGGTGTAAATCAAATAAGTAGCATACATACACTTCAGGACATAAAATTCATATGTAAGCAGTCTAGTTATTTGTCATTGGGTTATGTACTTCCTCCTCATCTGTGATTCTAGATTATTTTCATTTTCTCTCCCTTTTAGAATTCTTCAAAACAAATTCCTTCTAATTACTGTGATATTTCTGATTGTGTTAATATTTTTCTTAACCATATATCTGGTCACTCGTCGTGCGACAACACACGTGAACTCGTCTTCTGCTACAATAAACTCATCTCACCCATGATATGTAGTTCTGTGTTTATGTTTCTGTAGGTGGTTCTTTTTACACCCAAGCAGACAAAGTGGTTTTTATTTATTCATAACTATCTCATTTTGTACTCCGGTATAGCGTATCTCATCACAGTACCTTTTCTTTTTTTGATAAGTTTAATTACAATAAGTTGTACTTCCGAACAAGAATCATCAATTTGCTGTTCATCATTACTTTTTATTTGGTTCCTTTTGTTTTATACTTTATTTCTTTGACGGTTAGTTTGCTAATATCATTAAAAAATGTCATAAAGGTATATATAAGTGCTGTATTTTTAATATACTATGGTAACAAGTGTGCATACTCCGTCTGGTATTTTCGAGACTTTTTTAGACAATTTTAGTCGCTAAGTCGTTGGGATTAACAACGCTGATATTTTCAATACATATATCTTTCACTGGACGTTCGTAATGAGTCTGGACCTCTTCCATTTTATCCAGAGTTAAACTTCCTTCAATTACACGCCTAAAAAAAAGATCAACAATATCAATGTTTATCAAAATGTTTACATGTGATGTTAGATAAGACTGCTGACAACAGCGGTAAACATCGGAACTTGTTAATTAAATCTGTGTATCTTGGTGATCTGTCATCAAGTAATATAAATACTGGTAAAAGGGCAAAAACATAAACTAGCGAATTATAAAATAATGTTGACTTGAGGTTGATTGAATTATTAACTGGGGTTTCAGTGCAAAAAAAGGACATCCAGGTAGCTTACATACAACTTTCCAACTGGTGCTATAATATACTACCTATGATTCAGTGATTTTTGTTGAGTCTTTATCACTCAAAGTAACAAAGATTATATATTATATATACCTTGTGAGAAATTCAAATAATGTGAGTTTTTTGAGCATAATGGATAAAATCACCTCGTTAACGTCCTGAGCATACATTATAACCTCCTGGTCGGGTTGCTAAATACAATGGTAAGGACGATTTCATTGGGTCTCTGTCGTTTTCTGTATAGTGTTTACGTCTAGTTGTTTTGCTATTTCAGGATTTGAGAATTACCAAAGGGAAGTATACTTCCGTCATCATGTAATATGTATTTTTCGTTAATCTCGCATCCATTAAATAGTACAGTATGTAGACAGGAAAATTTCACTGTCGATTCCTTAGTGTGCCTGCTGAAAGTTGACCAAAAATGGTAAAGATACGGGTTCTGTGATAGTGTTCGAGATAAGTGAAGCGAACAAAATTATGAAATCGTTTAGCTGAATTCCCTATAACGTTCTTATCACGTTCCACTGTACAATAAACAATCAAAAGTTTTAAGATATTGATTGAAAATAAATCAAACACCATATATCAATAATTTATAGTTCCAGGCGTCACAAAATGTAGAAGCTTCAAACTCCAATTGTAAATCTGTCATCGCAACACATTTACAAAGTGCCAAAACTTACCCAAATGCTACGTAGCGGTTATCCATCCATTCAGCTGGTGCCAGTGTAATGAGGAACTGTGAACCATTTGTGTGACGTCCAGAATTAGCCATACTTAGAATTCCGCGTCGATCATGCTTGATGATATAATTTTCATCTTGTTTGGCGGAAATTAGACGTATGGTTTAAAGCTTTTATGAGTGTCTGCGGGAAGAATAAGTACTGAAGCAACTGGCTAATTAATAATAATTGGTCCCCTGTTTTCTAAATCTCGAGACATTGTAACACTTATCGAATTGGAGTTCTTATGAAAGTGTAAGTTAAAAGCCGCTTTAGTCGCCCACAAACCAAGATATCTTGCCGAATGTGGTCTGTTTTCTTAATTAAGTTGTATTTGTCTCGAAAATACCAATATTCAGTTGTCAGTAATAAGTATATAGGGGTGTGATAAATCGTGCTTCTCTCGATTTTACACTTCTGATAACTTTATAACATAATCCAACCACTTAGATCACGTCATTTACATTTATTACCTATCAAGACATTTTAAACTTGAAAAGTAAGAATGACAAAGTTCGTACACTGATTGTTTTATATTTACCTGGATTGGGTGATGTATTATCCTTGGTAGTTACTTGTCCTTAAAGTTCTCTCGGTACATAACATAAAGTAAACGAGAGGATTACTGTATATTTCATTTCATTCTAAATGAAAATGTGATAAGCTTCATATAGATTATGGTGTTGTGAAATTATAGTATCGTGACCTCTATATTAAACTATAAATTTAAACATTCCAACGCCCATTTGAAATGAATACTTAAGTAGTGCCTTTAAATTAAACAACCCATACTTTTAGTAAGGTGGCTCCAAAGAAAATGGGCTAAATAAGGTACGGTCACCGTTTTTAAATTTAGATTTGATCCAAATGCTTGGCTATGCTAGCTAACATTGTATAACCAATTAACTTTGGTGCTACGATTCTCAACAGTGTAAAACAAGAGTCACAACACGAACTGTTAAGGAATAATGTATTTCAAGCACATAAAACCAGGAGGCAATAAAAGTGAATTATGACAGTAATAATAAGTCATTATATATATATATATATATATATATATATATATATATATATATATATATATATATATATATATTCTGAACAAAACAAAGCACATACATCTAATGGTGTTCGATCAACACACGTAAGCCTTCACCATTTGAAAATGTTTATGAATGAACGTTCGCAATTGGTAATGTAAATGTAAAACAACTACTACTATTAGAATATTCCCCTGAGCGTGGGTTGTCTGTGTGTCTTTTTATAACTTTTCATATAAATATATACTTGCAGGTGCATAGTATGCCGCTGAGAAACATTCCTGTGTTATGAACTCTACCAATTCTAGTGTTTTTCTAAGGTAGTTTAGGGGTTTAGAGGATTTTTATATATACTTCCAACTCTCAAAAAACATCTAACAATAATTTCTTCCAGTCTGAACGTAAAAAAGATAACGACTGCGAACTTTGCCTGTTATAGTTTTACATTTGTGCGACAGCTAATTAACTGGACACGTAACAGAAGGTAAGAGTGTTCTAACAACGGAAGTTTTACATTGTGATTGATAATTCTGAACACATGAGATTATTTGCGGTTCATTACGGGCTAGCGATCTAGAAACATTTTAATACCAGTTTCGGTATTAAAATACTAGCTATACAAAGTTATACTTTATACCCAGTACATGAAAACGGTCTCTTATGAAGTTAAAAATAAAAAAGCATGAGTGTTTTGGTGGGGAACACACCAATTTAGTACTTGTGAAGGTTAATATTTAATTGATGAAAGTGAATTACCTTCAAATACTGGACCATAGATTGAACGACCATCATTTCCTCTGTTATACAAAATATCTAAAGCAAAGTAGGTTGCATAGCTGTTGTACCTCCACCTTGAATCCATCCATTTTTTACCAAACGGAAAAATTTTGTACCCTTATAATTCATTTTATATTTCTCCACCTCGTTTTTCTTAATCACTCCATACTCGCCAGTACACAATGACCTGAAATTTTCACATGTCTTTGGCACAAAGTCAGAGTATAACTAAGACTTCGACTTCTGAACAAGTTATCATACCTCAAGTAGTAAAATGCCACACTTCTCCCCATCGATTGATATATGCATGGAAACATGTATTCTCTAAATAATTATAGGGTAGTTATTCAACATTTTGTCTTACATTAAAATGAAGTAGTCTTTTTTGATAGGCATCAACTGCCAACGCGCTGTATAATGCCATAGGACGATAGTCAGTAATGTTGAATTCCCTTTCAGCCCAATTCGCTAGATCCTCTTCGGAACCTAGTGGATTTCCATCTATTATGATCAAAACATCATGATTATAGATCCAGTATGCTCCGCCAAGTTTCTGGATATGATAAATGCATATATGAACGCACTTTCTTTGTTGTCCTTATGAAGTCCGCCCATTCAAACTCAAACATTCCACATATTCTAGGCTGTTCAAATATTTCATGGTGTGACTCATGAAGATCCTGCACTGATTTATGAAGTAAAACTAATACTCACAGAAGCCAAGAGGCTTGCCTTTTGAAAACTTTCTTATGAACCAAACCATATATCTCTATAACCATGGGATATATTATTGAAATGTGATATTTGTTAGATGTTATGGTTACTGTTAGGTGGTTCAATCAAACGCCTGAATTCATGTTTGCGAAGGGTCAACCGTGAATTCGTCCTGTAAAGACATTCTTGCTGATGATTACCCTTTTTCTCGAATTTTAGGTACCAGGATAGACTTTAAATTTGTATTGTTGCATAAATCATCCATATAAGTGGATTTTCAAAATTTGACATTTAAGCTGATCATTTTAGCTTTACTGGACAACACTAGCTAAATGAGCCCGAATAACCAACCACAGATGATTCAGATTCGTGTAGTAAGGACAGAAGGCCTACGGGCTATGTTATTCCTTTTCTAGTATGCTTCTGTGAGTGCCCAATCTTCTCTTGAAAGAGCCTATTGAAGGTGAGGACACCACTGCTTCAGGCAGCAGGTTCCAAGTATTGATGACTCGGTGTAAAAACCTGTATGCCACGGTTATTTTGTTCGTTCTTGGCTTTTCTACTCGCCTGCTATGTCCTCTGAGGTGCCCCGATCTAGTGGAAAGATTGAGAGAGAGAATAAGTTAGGTCTGAAATCATTTCTCAGTATTCTGTACATCAAAACTCGATTTCCCTTCAGTCTGCGATAGGACAGAGTAAAGAGGTCCGGCTTTTCAAGTCGCTCTTTGCATGGTAAACCCCGGAATTCTGGAACTGCACGGGTGGCTGCCCTCTGTACTTTTTCTACGATATCCGAGTCACATTTTAAACAGGGGCTTTCAGCCTGAACTCAGTTCTCGAGCTTAGTTCTCACTAAGGATGTGTATACCGTGGTGATCATGATAGTATCTAACTTAGTGAATGTCCGTTTTAAAGCCCAGACAGTTTAAAATCCCTTAGCTGTGACCTCCCGGCAATGGGCCGTCGTCTTAAGATCATGACTGGCTGTCATCCCTAGATCCTTATGAGACCGGACCACGGGTAATGACCCTTCCCCTATGTTGTACCTATTAAGCTTTGAATCCCCATAGTGCATGTAGACACACTTTGCCGCACTGATAGACTTCAGCCACTCTTTATACCAGTTATTCATATTATTTAAATCTACCTGAAGAGCACATGCTTCTGTGTCTCCAGTTATTACTTGCCAGATCTTTACATCGTCAGCGTATAATAACATTGGAGACTGTACTATACTTGGAAGATCATTAACATAAATTATGAAAAGCAAAGGACCTAGGACGGAACCATGAGGTACCTCACTAAATACTGGTCTCCAGATAGAGCACTTGAAATTTATTCTTACTTTCTGTCTACGACCTACTAGGAAATCCTCAACCCATTTTAAAAAAGGTCCGGCAATACCAAGGTTTTCCAACTTCACTAGCAGTCTACTAGTTGGCACGTCATCAAAAGCCTTACTGAAATCTATGTAGACAACATCCACTGAGTTTCCGTTGTCTAGCCCATTAATCCAGAACTCCCTAGCTATAAGGAGGTTCGTTGTACAGGATAGACCCTTCCTAAAGCCATGTTGTGCCATGTTCAGCAAGTTATTGGTTTCCATAAATGCCGTTATGGTCGTTTGATTATTCTTTCCAGTATTTTAATTACAACACTGGTGGGGCTTACGGGTGTGTAATTCGATGGAACTTGTCGTGGACCTGTTTTATGTATTGGAGTGACGATTGCGTCCTTCCAGTCCATAGGTAACACACCTAATTTATGGACGACGAAGAACGACCCTGAAGTGACGTTGAGAGTGGACAACTACTAATTAGGACTAAATGACGGTTATAAACCAATTGGAATTTTCATTTACAGTTGATATTTAGGGTTAAAAAATAGATTTAGGGTTTTCATCACAAATTGACATCAGCTATAGTGCTAAAACTCTATTTAGCCAAATATATGAATGAATTTTGTGCCCAAATTCTTGACTCGTTAACTTATATCCGATTGGTTCGTCCATATATATTACAAACTTACCAGATTACCTTCTCTGTTCTTGGTCGATCACTCTGCCTTACTATATTTCCCTGTCACGTTCTTCGTTATCATATAGTTGTTTCATATTTCCTTCTGAAGTAGCTATTTATGCTGTCGTTGAAAGGTCAGATCTAATGCTCTTCTTCACTTGCTTGTTTACTCTTATGTATTCAACTTGTGCCTTCAGTTTCTTTGTTCTTCTTTGACTGTTGTTAAATGCTGTCATCTTGTTCTTCCTTTCGTGAATCTTGTCCTTGTTTTCAATGGAGATTCATTTATTATGATGACACTTCTTGCAGTCCAGCTCCTCTTGACACGTTGAAGTTAGTGCTTCTTCAATCCTTTTACTATTCTCCTCCATAGTAGTTTCTTCTTCGAGTAGATCGTGTTAGTCTTAGAACATGTTGTTGAGCGCTGTTTTGAATTGGTCGAGTTTGTCGATAGGCTGTATTGAACCGTTGTGTTTTCGTTTCTCCAGTTGTCCAGTGCTTCTTTATCTTTAGTTTCTTCTTTACAACCACTAGACGGTGATCCGAAGCTATGTCAGCTCCTCTCTTGGTCCTCATCTCTTCCACTGACCTTCTGAACTTTTCAGTGATACAGATATGATCGATCTGGTTCCGTGTAGTGTGATCCAGTGAGACCCATGTAACTATGTGTATGTGTTTGTGGGGGAAATAGTGCCACCGATAACCATTTTGTTGAATGCGCATAGATTTCCGAATCTCTCGCCATTCTCATTCCTTTCTCCTAGTCAGTTCATATTGTCCCACGATATCTTCATACCCAGTGTTGTCTATTCTGACTTTGGCGTTTAGGTCTCTCATCAGAATAGCCATGTCTTTTTCTGGTCACTTTCCTACAGTCGAATGCAGCCCCTCATAAAACTGGTCTCAGTCGTCGTTTTCTACGGGATAGCTTTGCCGATCACATGCCCAACCCTCCTTTCCTACACGGACTTGGGACTGGCAGTAGCTGTATAAGAGCTACAGGCGGAGTTGATACATAATCTTAGTGAGACTTAAATCAACACATGGTCAATTTTAATAATCTAGGAGACTGAAGTGTGACAAAATTCCAATAGAAACTGGTTGATGCGGTTATCTCATGTGCTATAATGCAACGTGTGAAACAGGCGACCAGGTACGACCCGGACAAGGAATCATCCTTAATAGTCTTCACACGAAACCATTATAAAGGTGATGTAACAACCCTTCACCATATGTCACCCAAAACTAAGAGTAAATTCGCAATTCTGGCCTTTGATTCACTTCTCGTTGTCAATGAAAATGTGCCAGCACAAATGAGACAAGAAATCTTGGAAGAAAATACACAAGAAACTCATATATTCTGCATCTTTAGCGGATCGGACAGCAGATCAAGAATTCCTGATTTGAACGGTATGGGGGGCATTCAGAAGTTTGTACATACAAGTTACTGCATCCCACATTTTTCGGACTATGTCGAAGAGTCCCAGGAACTCATCATTGACGTTCTGTAAAGAAATTAGATCCCTTCTTCATTAGAGAGATTTTACAAGAGAAAAAAGCTGTGGGGAAAATCTAGACTACTGAGTACTAACGAGACAAAATGTTGATCCCGGAAACTCGAAATACGTGTGTCAAACCTCCTGAGGTTTAGAAGATTGTATGGGGAAGGGTTTATTAGGGAGTCTATGGAATACTATAAACACTTATACACGAAACAGAGGACCAAGAAAAGAGACGATACCCCAGCACTATAGGAAGACAGCGATACCATGTAACTAGTAGGAGACAATTGTTGTGAAGCTAAGGTATTCTCAAATTACTTTAGCGACGTCTGTACCCTGCAGACGCTCTCTTCAGTTTACGTAACTTCCCCCCCACACACACACTCTGGACACTGTGACCATTAGAGAACCCGATATCTTTGGTCTGCTGATTGAGCTTGAAATAGGCAAATCAACGAGACCCGATGAGACGCGCCCTAGATTACATTATTTAAATGATGGATTTGATACTGTTAGTGTCAACAACAAAACTGTGAAAAGCACCACCGAACAAATATAACCGTTTTTGGATATGAGTTCAATTACTGGAAATTTTAGGTAAGGATAATATGTGACTATCAAGACCTCGCGAATTGATAAGATCGCAATTACAGAGTATGTTATCACTAGTAGCGAAATGAACGGTAGTTCTACAAATCAACTCGATGTGTTTCATTCCACAACACTCGGAGCATATAGTATGACGAAGTGCACACGAACTACATGAATGAATTTTACCACATGACGAACATTTACCGAACTCGTGCTCACCCTTGTTTACTGCCTTGCAATTCTTCTAGAAATTGATTCTCATGTTTTAACGCAAATGGGGATAATCGTTAATTGAACGCCTGTCCATATGAGCTTGAGTACGAATGGTATTAGGACAACTAAGTACTGTAGTGAAATTCTTGATATCCTGGAATTCAGTTCAGTGTACTGCCTCATAATGAATGCGTGCATTCTTTGCATTCTGGAATTAACACTGCAGAATTAGTATATGCTCTCTTACCATACTGGTATCTTGATTCAAACAGCCATTGAGACGTTTAGCTGGAATTTGTGGTGGTTACTAAATTTTCGCTACGGGGCTTGTTTCCTTGATTCTAGTGTAAACTCGTCAACCTTCTTATTGTTCTGACCAATCATCCTATGAAATTTTTCTTTTTCATGGCATTAAAAATTTGTGTACTAGACGTGACCTGACAGTACTTATTTGAGAACTTCATAGGGAAGTAACATAGGCTTATATGAAAATGCCAAATTTTCTTTAACCTGCTGGCATCCATTACGACAGGTGTATTGATATGATCCACAGTTATGGCTCATAAGATTAATAGTATCATCTTTAACATCTCTCCTGGTCGGTTTCGAAAATTTACATGTAATTCTGAAGTTTCGGAATTTGAATGAAAAACCCAACTGTCCAGTCGCAGGTCCCATCGCGATCCCACTATGAAAATGTTACGTATTCGAACTGATCTGCAAACCATGAATTCCCGGAATAGTTCAATTTAAGGCAGGTGGATCTAGATGAGCACAACTTTTATTTGAACACACAAATATCGGTATAAAGAGTCACCAAATACATATACGTCACACAAGTCACTTGATTTGTGTGTAGACTGTGATACTGCCTGGGTGTCTAAAGCGGAGCAGGTGGTTTTCTTAAGAGGCCACACCCGGAGTCCTAGACCTAAAGGTCTGATCCACAAGGCAATGAGGCAACTTTAGGAGAGGCTGTATCACGGTAGCCGGTGACCAACAATTGGTTCACACACCATTTGTTCCCTCAGGATCCTGAAGCTCATGTACACCATAGGTTTGGAATAAGGGTTTTCCAACTTTCCTAAGTGGATCCTTCATGTCCATACAACTGAACCTACTGTATTCATAGTTCGCAATAAGCGCTCTATCAGGCACAGATTAACCGTCAGTTTATATAAATTCCATAAAAATACATCGTATACAACCCATAATTCTAATCGGTCATTTTAGGGACAGTTCAAGGTCGTTACGCTCAGCCGTACTCGAATCGCTTTAGGGGGATGTTCGATTTCAGGCTTGTTTCTGTCTTACGATGTTCGCAACATCTACCGTTCTCCACCGCTCTACATAGCGTAGTATTAAATCAGAAGTAGGGTCTTTCTCATTCATAAACTGGTTTTTGTTGGCAACTGCCAAATGGTAGAGATTTAAATATTTACCAGTCATGTGTTACCATATGTATTTAACATAATTATACTAATCATTAGCAATAATAAGTAAACTATTCTGAACATTCTCACTTATAATTTCACTTATGATTTGCTTTAGACGTAGTTCTGAGTCAGTAAACTGGTATATTGTTTCCCACCCCCAGCTTTTTAGGCCTTTTCTCTTTTTATACTGATTAACATCGAAATTTTCATTTTAGAGCATGCATGTTTTTAAATCAAACACCGTAAGCATTTTAGGAAGTATGCGCTTATTGCCTCTTAGTTATAATCCAATAATGTGTCAGTTTATATGCTAATACGTGTATATGAAAGTAGTCCGTTAATTATAACTTGTATTTTCTAAGCTTCTCGAAAGTCGTCCATTTAGGACTACTTGTACATCCCAAGTATACTGATAGAAAAATTAATTAATAAGACCTTATATTTGTTGATGCAACTGTCAGTTTAAATCTACCTCTCAACTATGGTTCCTCATGTGCGGACTGACCTGCTTTTATTTTGATGCACTAATAAGTGTGCAGTGAACACTGACTAATCGGTATATTTTGTTTAGAGTGTGAGATGCTTGCACGGTTATTATGAACATAGTGGCGAGATCATGTTGACTCAATGATTAGAGACTTTAACAAGTTACCGAGGATCAGAGTTTTTGGGTGTATCGTACTCATTTTTAGTGTAAAGGTCTTAGACTTAGCCATAATGTTAATCTGGCTGTAAGGAGTTGGGTGTACAGTGGGTCACTGGAATCAGTTCCGGTTCTTAACTGTAAAACGTGACCTATTATAGGTAAGGGCGTTTGATTACTGTGAGTTTCGTAATCGTTGTCCCCGAAGGATTGCTTACATTAACAAAAACAATGCTAAGATAACGTCAAATAGCAGCAAAATACTTTTATATTTCAACCCCTGTTGTGCCAAGTTTGTCACAGTTTATTTAATTTTCCATTTAACCTCCTGTAACTTGCCATGCTTTTCCTGTAACTAGTAGTTTGAGTGTTAACATTTAATCGTTTAAGGATTCAAGTAATTGGATAACAGTGGCTTCATGTATTTCATAGTGTTTTACAGAAGTTCTAGTTGCTATTTTTACTTTCAACGTATTTCTTACAGATGATTTAACAATTGTTCGGAATATCAAAAGTCTCATGTCCCTCTCATCAGACCGCGCAAGATGTCTTGCAGTTACTTTCTGTCAGCACGTACAACCGTCACGCTTTACTTTACATGTGTTTGATTTGTTTATTTCCTTCAAGTATATCAACGTCACACATCAACATAACTCATGGCTTTCTCAAGCTATCCAAAATTGTTATCTTATTGGTCATGTTGAACCATACTTATTATTAATAGGTGGATCTTCCGCACATTTGCAAACCATAAAGTTATCATGGGATAGAGGTCAACTTAAATCTCCTTTTGGTTTCGCAATCAACTCAGTGTGTATGTTTTCAGTACTTTGTAGTTACTTTTCTTTTTTAAACATATCGGATATGACGTGGTTCATAATACATTCTGTTGATCACATATAGTATTCGTGAGAACTTATACCTAATATCCTTTTAACGATGGCATCTTTATTTTCCTGATTGTATAACCAAGTAAAATTAATTCGTTAAAGCTGTCGGTGACCAAAAGTACTCAGCCTTATATATTCTTCTGTTCATAGCTTTAATTTATAACCAAAAAGTAGAGTCTGATAGATTATTTTGCTGTGTACGCTAATCTTGTTAAACAGGTCGAACATTCCGTTAGGTCTAAGGACAGCGTTTGTTGACAAATCTCGAATAACTGCTCGTTTAGTCATTTTAGTTTTCTCTGTTAGAGCATATTTAAACAAAACCAGAGATTTGGGTTCATTAAAAGAAATAACAAATTATTGTACAAACCCGATAGTACTGATCATAATAGCTTTTCAACTGTCTACAAACTAAACATGATACTGTTCCGTCTGGTGGAACTTTTTACACCTCAAGGATTTTAAGACGCTAATATTTAATTATATTTGGGGTAAAGTAACTCGTATGATTTATTTATTAAACTCATATCCTGATAACTAAAACGAATTTGTTTGCTAGTTGATCTACAGTTTTTGATTGCGATCATGAAACGATTGGTGCTAAACCGCCATTGAAAACCTAAAAGCACTGGACGACCGTTTCGTCCTATTGTGCGACCATCTTCCACTGTATTGAAGTAGATACCTCTTTCTACCCGACACGGATTAGCTCCATCGATCGCGGCTTTTCACTAGAACTCCGAGAATTTCCTCACGAAGCTGGTCACTAGTGAGCACATGGTTGGATGCCGGCTCAGTGGTCTAGAGGTTAAGCGCTCGCTCGCGGGACAAGGCCCTAGGCTGGAATTCCGCGGACGCGATCGTGTATGCGCACTGCTGAAGAGTCCCACAATAGGACGAAACGGTCGTTCAGTGCTTTCAGGTTTTGAATGATGATCTAACATCAATCAGTTCATGGTCTCAATCAAAAACATAATAATCTCTACAGCCCCATACTGATGATCTACAGTTGCTTACGCGCAAATAATCACATATATTTTTCATTATATATTCCATACAGCAGCGGATGATTTACTCCTTAAAACATTATTGTAAGCCAATAGTTGTTCAGTCTTCCGATATCCAATTGCTGATAAGCTATAAATAGATAGAAGTACACTATGGATTACATTGCAAATCTACACATTTTTTATTATCATAACTATGGAACTGTTCAACCATTTTCTATTAGATACCGTTAGCCCCTTACTCGAAATCAATATTTTAGATGGGTAATTAACTCCTTGATAACTTAATACAAAAAATAACGGACGCAATGGTTTAATAACTATCCTGTTAGGTAACTTGTTCGTAATTTCTAAGCCGCCATTATCTGGTAGAACAGCCTTTCATAAAATCCTAGTTACGTCTAGTGGAAACTGAGAATAAATAAACAAGCAATTTATTTGATAAGTAGATCACAAGTTCCAAGCTACTTATACGTTACCATTCTTAAGGAATTTGAGTATATATCATAACTTTCAGTAACCTAGCATTAGTTTGCTTTCAAATTTACTTTTTCCCTATATGCGTCGGAGTAATGTGCAAATGTAAACGTCAACATTGGAATACAGAACAGTGGTTCTTGTTTGAAACCGTACTCAAGAACATTAAACAACTTGCCGTACCTATTCATTTCCTCCTAACTTGTTTATATTATTTTACCCACGTACCATATACCATCACATATGATCAGTTTTATTTGTTCATTATGCTAGAAAATGGATTGGTTATGCATTATTGTATTAGAGTTTATAGCAATTAGAATTGTTTCTATACTCCCTATTTATATGTTTCGATCCTTCTTATAAATTCTAAGATTGATGTTTATACTTATAGCAGATGTTGGTTCTTGGTTGTTGGAGACTTCTCAGTTTAATGCAATGCGTTTGGAGGAAGTTATCTGTCAACTAGTTTGGCAAGTTACACAATCTGAACCTAGTTGTTCAGTGGAACGTCTAGTCAAATATCTTGAAGACGTATATCGTGGCATACAACTTCCTCTCCCTTCACTAAATGACGTGAATAATTCTTTGGCCGTCTTAACTCAAGCTGGAGCGATATATTTTAGCGGTAATTAAGATTCTGTTATTCTTGTGTATTAGTTCATGACTGAATGTCTAACTAGTTTGTTTTATTATTAATGAATCAACTTTTTATATTTATTTAAGCGGACTAAGTTTACATCAAATGTATAGATTATATTTGAATAATTTCAAGGATTGGAATTTAAGTAATTATCCAGCTCTTTTTGTCGTAATTTGTGCTTATATGGATTTATCTTTAAACTAATTCTGACATAACACGTTAAAATTAATTATTTGCAGAGTAAAGTTGTTGACTGACATTTGAAGCTATAGATCTATTGTACGGCAGAGTATTTAGCTGTAAATTAATTTTTCACCAAGTTTAATGACATTTTTGTATTTTCATCATAGCTTTATACTCTCTCGTGGCTACTTGGAAGTTAATTTGGTGAAGATTATATATGAACTCAGTATTAGATCAGTAGTTCTTTATAACTATTTATGACAGTTTAGTTTGTATACGCTTTAATAGAATAATAATATGAAAAAAGCTCCATGATTAAAGTGGTAAAGATCCAAATGATCAGATTCATATGAAAATAAGTAATGATCTGAACGAACAAAAGTTTTTATTTAAGGAATCTAGTAATCCTTATTGATAGTGTGAAATCACCACCCAACAACGTTATCTGTTCTATGAAACTATGCGAATGGATGTCAAAGGTTTTATGACGTGTAGCAAACGATATTTTTCATAAATCTCACCTTGCATTTTCAAGCGGATTAAGGTGAAATCATTTCCGTTAGTCGCTCAAGCATTGCTTCCGATTATGAAACGATCATGAAGGGTAATATGCTAGCCCGGAAATTAGTCACTAGCCTTTGCTATCACCTGTAAACTGTAAGTGATTGTTTGTTCAATTTTTCAGATCATGAGTGTATAAATTTAGATATTTTACTGAGTTTATGTATTTATAATCCCATCGAATTTTTTATACATTGAAGTTGGGAGTTTGTGGCGTGTCGAATTTGAAGCCAATTTTTATCACGGAATAACATCAGGACCATTGTAAGCCACAGGTACTCGTCTGCTGTTTCGCCCTAGATTAAAATTCCTCAGTTTTCTTATGGCTAGGGATTTTATTTATGTATACGTGTTGTTTCATACTTATTCTTAGCCATGTTAGGTCTATATCAATCTGTTTCCTTCTTCCTTATTTCTCTATGTACATTTATACATCCAAATTAGGTCACGGATACAATCTTCTGACACCTGAAAAGTTAGCCGTTGCAAAATGGCTTGAAAGTATACCGGAAACATGTACAGACACTGAAAGTGTCTTGGATTACCCAATTTTAAAAACAGCACCTCTAGCAGAAATAGAGCCATTTGGACGAAATGCATCCTTATCTGATCCAGTTAACCGTTGTGATCTTGTTCCAAACAACGATCAACTTCGCAATGCTAAACATAAAATTGGAAATTCTACATATTATCGGAATCCTAGTGCTCTGGTGCCAGTTCCCGAAAATCTAGAACTAGAACATTTGCTCAGGTCTTTCAGTGCTCATTCCATAAGTTCATATCACCTTCGACGTAATCACATAAATCATTGCAACCCAGCTGTATTTGTTTCACCTACCAATAGTTTAAAATATCTCAATTCCCAGTTCCCCTTAACTTATAAAACAAATGGCATCAATAGTAATTATGCTATGAAATCAGCAAGAGAAAATGTTAGTAAATTTAGTTCAGCTGGTGTGAGTGATTCTCTTAAATCACATACAGCTCGATCTGAAATCAAACTCCCACATCATTCACAAATGGAAACACCATTCACCAAATGTACTAAAATACCATCAAACAAAAAATGTAAGTTATTTTCCATAAATTAACCTACCAGACAACCTTCAACTTTCTTGGGTTTTAATAAATGATTTTGAAGTATTATATATATACTGCCTACGCAGTGGATTGTATAATTCCTAGTTAATATTTGAATAACTCTCATAATTGTAAGTATTTCTTTAGAAATGATTGTGGTTCACATTTATCTTGGGGCATTTCATCTTTGAACTTTGAGTGCCTACCTTATTTAAGCGAAGAGTTTCCAAACTCAAGTTCGTTGTCATTAACTTTAGCGGCAACTAATTTAGATGTTTGCAATGGTAATTATTGTAAAGAAATTCTTTCTATAAGCCTACTTCTATAAATGTGAATAGTCCTCCTAAACTGGATACTGTTCACTGCTTTCATTCGAAACCCTGTTTATATTTATTATCTTCATAAAATTTATGTTGGTCAAAGAGAATTAAAATTCTCTCAGATCAACGGTGTATTTATGATTAATATTATTCAGTGATAAAAAAAATACTAAAGTACATTCACACTAATCAATTTACTATCATACAATCCACTAGTTAGTGTTGAACAAAGCATAATATCCGTAAATAGACCGGTCCCTTATAATAATTTATAGTTCATTTTGACAGATAAAAGTATTTTTTTTGTAAATGAATCCTTTGGCTTTTAAGACTTCTTCAGTACTCTAACAAAACGTTATTCACTTGTTTCAATGGGCTTTAGTAAATATAATAGTGGTCTCTCTCCTCTTTTATTTAAGGCCATCATTTTGTTTCTAAGCAATTATATGATCAATCAGTTTTTATTGGTAGTAATTCACTCATAAGCCAGTTTCTTAAATGAATTTTCATATATATATATATATATATATATATATATATATATATATATATATATATATATATATATATATATATAGACCTAGATTATATGAGATTGATTTGGTGCCAAGATTTTCGACTTAGCTCTATCCTGAGATTAAAAGTCCTACATCCTTACAAAATTCTATCGTGAAAACATTCCAGCTTTACTTGAATAAATATTAATTTACAGACCTGTTGCAATGACGATATATAACGCTCTTGTCCGGTTATATACATGGATGTCTTAAAATTAATAATTTTATTCAGAACAACCATACTGTCAAGATAGTAGAACGCATTTCCCCTCTTTTCGTTTGTATTTATCATCATCTTATTGTCTGTGTAATATTAATTACTGTTATGTATTCGATTTTCCTCCGCAATCAATATTATTAGGTTACATCCTTTGCTTTTTATCCGGTTGGTTTCCTCTCTCTATGTACTGATATAGAATGTGTAGCAACTTGGAACAGTACATATTCCTGGTAGGTCCTACATTACCTATGACCAACATACTATTAGATTGACAATATTGACAGCTAAATATTTAGTCAATTTCTTATCAAAAATGGGGAGTAATACAGAATACCCCTGAAGCGAAATCATGCTTATTTACACTTTGTTATCAACGGTGCCAAATACTCGTTTAATATTCTCTTTAAAAAAGATTAACTTTCTGTAAGTTTACCAAATAGATATATTATGGAAATACGTTTATTTTATGATTACAAGAAAGGCGTAAAAAGTATATTTCAAATTTCTTTGTGATTATTCTGAAATAGCCTATTACACGACAATTTTTTTGTTAATAATACCAGGTAAATCCTGTCCCCTGATTTGTAAACTTCACTTGTTTACCGTATTGCGGTAAATTAATAGATATTTTATCTTTTACTAAATAAATACTCTGGTAAGATTTATGGTAGTTTTTTGCGTCCAAGTATGTAGTTCACACTACAAGCGTTGCCTTTTTAATTTTACTTTGTTTTATTTTCGCATCATATTTTAATGTGTGTGCCACTTCCGTGCTCCGTTTTCATCTGTATAAAGTCTATATGAGCTAAGTTTCAAAAAGGAATTCTTAGATAGATCATAAGATTTATCAGTCACCTCCTGTTACTTCTGTATTTCGCTGTCGTCTACGTAAAACTACAAAACTTTAGATACAGGTGTTCCTTTATTGTTAAGATTAGTTTGTTTTATCAAAATAATGTATATACTAGTATATAGTAACCGATATATTAATAATACATATATTGTAAGGAAATGTCAATGACAATACCCAGAAAGAAGTATATTAGACGAATATATGTAGACAAACAGGGGAATATATAAAGACGTGAATTGAACTGGTGATTATATTCAACGTTCAGATAAATTAATGATATAATAATGTTATGTTTACGGCTATCTTTTTACTTAAAATATAAGTCAACTTAAAAGAATCTGAATTCGTCTGAGCCTATGGTTCTTAGTTTTGTGTAGTTACACTAACTGCATGAATAATACTAATTAACTTGTGTTAATGGACAATAAATGTTGAAATTTTCATTATTGCTAAACAGACATTGAAAAAAAAACATTCCGAAAAATATACTTTCATTAGATTGTTGCACCTGTTTTATCACTTGGAATCTTTTACTTGGTCCATTTATAACAAAATCCCCTCACTTTATCACTTTATATTAAAATAAGTTACAAAGATGTTAGTACGCTTTTTTAATTTGTATATCATTTGACTACATTGTTACCAGTAAATAGAATAAGCGTTCTGAAGCTTATAACGCAAATGGGGCGTAATATTTATTGCTTCTTTTGGCCTCGGATAGAGCGGAAGATATCCGGATAGAAGGCGCAAAATATACTCAGATACAATATTCCAAGTATATAAATGTATATTTATTCAAAATTCGAAGGTTTGGATGTATTGGAATCCGTACACATTATTTTAGCTGCTCTTCAAATGAGTATTTTAAATCATTATAGGAAGCATATATGTATACATTTAACAATGTGACAGAAAAATTATTGAGTATAATGTTTAATAACATGAATCTTAGTTACAAATGTATAATTATTTTTAGGCTTAGCTACACATGGAATAATCAAGTAACATTTTGCCTAAATTCGTTCTAAAAGAAACTTCTTTGTCTTGTCTATCAAAATGAAAACACTCCTCTAATTCTGTCATAGTGAGAAAGATCAAACATTCAGAATATGGTTTGAGTAATAAGTGTCCCAGAGAACTCAGTTGATGAAAGTTAATAGCCTGACTAACTGAATTTCTATCTTCTCATAGAGTACCCTACAGGGAACTTCAGCGTTGCTTACTCCACCGTTCTGTGATGTGCAACCAGTACTTCAAAGGCACATATGATTAAAAACATGAGCCTACGCATGTCTTCTAATTTAATAGGTCATATTTCACAGATATAGAATAGTAGAGAGCGGACTGCTTCCCATCATACTAGCCCTCTGTTTGGCAGACGAACATCTAGCCTTCACAATAAGTGACGCCAGTTGAGAGAAGCCAGGTGATTCAACGAGACTCTTAAAGTATGCCAATTTCTCGACTTCTTCAACTACTTCACTCCCTATGATCAATCTAGGTGACCAGCTCTGAAACAGAGGTTCGTGTCTGGCGGAACATCTTAGTCATACTAGACGTTTAAAAGACTGGGTTTTGTTAAACTCATCACCAGACAGGACGATGTCATCTGTTTATTCTCAGTCAATAAGTGAATATGCTGACAGGAAATGAATCTCTATAATGTTAGACAAAGAAAATGTAATTTTTTAGGATAGTAACTATAAAGAAATAAGATGGAAAAGGGAGTTAGTGAGCTTCCCGACGAAACAGAACCACTATTCCAACATATCTCCAGGATTAAATCATCAGGTGTCGCTGCTCCCTTGCTTCACATTTGCTATGACCTTTTCAATTCGACCAATAGTCGCAGTGGGATGACGATTTGCTATCTGGATCATTTGGTAGTTATAGGCTACTGGGTAGCAATTGAAAGCTCCTGTAGCTATTTGCTCATCGTTCCAGTCGTTTGGGCTAAAAATAGATCAGGGTTTCAGCTTTTTCGCAAACAGACCGACCAACAAATGACTTTAAGACCTTTCTTTCCAATAAGTTTCAAAAGTTATCTATTTGTTTCTATCGACGCTGTGTTTCCATTTTTCACGTCCGTCTTTCATCGCTACTCATAGTCGTTTTACATACTTTTGGTCAGTCTATATTTGGGTTGTCTCCGTTCTTCATCATGTTCGGAGTCTGATGAGATGAGTTTCTGAACATCTGTTAATCTAATAAATACCGCCTATGTCCAATGATCTTCCTTGACCTCTTAGGTTAAGACACTAATAAATAACCCTGCTGTTTGGACATTATCCCAAACGACTTCATGGAGAATATCACTTTGAAACAAAATGTATATGCGGACAATACGGTTTTTAGTTAGATCATCATCAGCCTGTAAAACACAGAAATATTGATGTGCATATATGAAATCATTACAAAATCAAGTCAGTTTATGAGCGGATGATAACTGAGGAATAGATCACATAAATAAGTAAAATACAAACTGATATTGTGATGACAGGTGTACTAGTTGTGAATAGAATAATAAAGGCTTGAACCAATTTTTCATGGTAGAAAGTAGGCCAACGATTTGAAAGAATGGACACAGATAACGTTATTAAAATTATAAAATTGCGTAACTTGAAGTGTTCTGATAATTGGAAAATGAAGTGTATATTTGAAAAAATGAGGTTGTAGGTAAATAAACGGACAAAGAGTATGGAAAATCATAGATAAATTAGTTTATTGATGCTGATTCTCCCAAAGAGGAGGTGAGGGTTTTACAAATTTCATAAGAATGCACAGAATTAGATTGTTAACTCGAATCTCTATAGCCTCTGGTATGTGTAAGGGGTGAGATCGAACCGAATAAGGGAAACTTTTAGGTATATGATAAATTACTTTGAATGATTTGCTGGTCAGATGTGATAGAATATAGTTGCGTGTTGTTTTGGTGATACTCTTTCCCAACTTTCTCCATAAGAGTGGCTAGATTTTTAGATACTCATAAATGCGGTAAAACCAGATAACTTACGCTTTGAAAAATCATCATCGACCGTCTGGAAACATCTTGTTTTAATCAATCTGTCTTGTAGTACATCACTAGCTATATCTCCGCCGAACTATAGGTTTATGAAGAAAGGTTCCTTACTGACCGTTGACGACGCTATTCTCGTGCTCGATACATGTGAGTGTTTCTTCATAAAACCTTGCGTATAACCTATTTTAGTCATCATATTATGAATGATCTCTAGCTCCATGTTTATAGTGTCTGATTATATCCTCCTAGCTCTACTTGTAAGACGTCTAACTAGGTTCCTCTTGTGACTAATGGATACAATACTCAAGAAGTGCGCGTAATAGGTTAATGTAGAAGTTTTTCCGTACACATCCACTAATGGAACCATTTTTCTTCCTGATAACTAATCAGTATCGGGTTGTAGAGACTACTAAGTATTTGATTGAGATCATGAACCAATTGATGCTAGACCAACATTGGAAACCTGGAAGCACTGGGCGGCCGTTTCGTCCTATTGTGGGACTCCCAAACAGTGCGCACCCACGATCCTGTTCGCAGGATTCGAACCCAGGGCCTTCGGTCTGGGATCACTCGAAATTGAGTTTATTTTATCGATTTAATCAGTTTTGTTTATTAGAACTAGCCCTCTTTTACCTGGCTTGCTTATGATCAGCGTTGTATTTTATAAACATATGTAAAGCACCTTGATGCTGTTTGGTAAGCGGTGATTTCACACTTTATTTTTGCATTGTTGGCAGATTTCAACTAACGTGATCTTAAATCTAGTAATTTCATCTAGTGAGGTTGAGACCAAGTCTGTTGTTCGTAAAAATGAATCCACAAACTGAACATCTGTATCTAGTTGATTTATTCTATTCCTATAGTTGTAGAATCTAGGGTCGGTCGATAAAGCCTCTAGTTGTGCTATATCTAACGGAACACTAGGAAAATCATGAACTTACCGCTCTGGGCCCAAAGGGAACCTTTTTGGTTTTTAACATCCAAGTGGTATTATCAGTTTTATCCATAATTTTTTCGGGTCTGCTTTTTGCTACGATGTCAGTATAATCCATGAATTGTGATTTTATTTCTGGTGGAAAGTTATCGATAGATTTTCTTTGCAAAAGATTTCTTTCCAGTTCGATTATTTGCATTTTTCAACAAATCTGTTTAGTTGAGTGCCCATTGTTTAAGGGTTCTGAAATTAGGACAAATCTTGTTCCGACGTTAAGGATTCCAATGTTTTACAATATCTATCAGTCTGTATACAATCATTAATACATCCCAACGAAGTTTTCTAGAACCCTCAAAAGACGGGTACTTTAGCTTGACATAAATTTCGACCACTTAATGTCGTTTCATGGAAGTCGACCCCATTAAAATAGAAGTACTACTCCAGAAACTTAGATCGTTAATACTTTTGGCATATGTGAAAAATGTCTACATTTCTTGAGTTGGTATCAGAAGTTTTGTGGAGATTGTAGTAATTCCAATAGTTGAGATCATGAGTCATTTGAAGCTATACCACCATGGAAAACCTGGAAGCACTGTATGCGCAGTGCTGAGGAGTCCCACGACGGGACAAAACGGCCTTCCAGTGCTTTCAGGTTTTCCACGGTGGTCTAGCTTCAATTGACTCATGATCTCAACTATTGAAATTTTCAGAGTTACCTGAAAAAGAAATTGGATCAGTGGTCTTGACAACTTAAGGGACAGTGCTAGAAAACAGTCACGCGATCTTTTACTGCTTTAAACTTGTCAGCATTGCGCTCTTAAAGCATGTATATATAGTATATATTGTCAAGTTCCACGACGCATATGAATAACCGACTAAAAAACAAGCATATCTCGATGCAACCATAAAGTTAATAATCCCAAGCGTAAAAACCAATCCGATTCATTTATTTATCTGCATCAATGATGTTTGTGGCGTGCTATGTATCTCACATAATCGCTTACATTTGGGACAAAACCACAGTGGTCATAGCGGAGCATAGTATTAATCCATTAGTTCACTGACTGTAAATCTAACGTATGGTGTTATTCCTGTCCAATCTAACTTCCTTTTTTTCATTGAGTGCTTCCGAAGTCTTTTTAATTTGAACCACATAATGTTCATGTGTCACTGGTTTTTGCGTGATAGAGTGCAACGATATCGAAGTTCTTCTCGATCACTTTTATTTTATTCTTAAAAAGCTATCAACTCATTATATAATCTCTCTGGTAGTCTCAGAAGAAACCTATATGTTCCATTATTCATACGAAGCTGCCGCTAGCAGTTATTGGTTTTTTTCATGAGGAAGGTTCCACAGGAATATTAGCTCATTATGTTCCCACGGGTCGGTAGATGAGAGTCAATAAATCCTATCCAATTGATCGCACGACAATTTGGTTACCACAAGACCTTAAAAACATGGTTGCCATTTGACAATAACGATTTCGTTCAACTTCGAAACTCATAATCCTTGTTGTAAAACAACTGTATGAAACTCCACGTTATCATTTAGCAAAACATCGAGTTTTTAGAATTCTGAAATGATTATTCTTTACCTCATTGTATACCACGACTATTCTAATCGTCTACAATTCAGTTCATCCCCCAGGTTTTTTGAAGTGGCTTTTGGATCGATTTCAACATCTTCGGCTTTCTTGGCGTCCCAGTCGCCTGTCACGCGTTGAAGATCAGATTATGCATCCTCAGAAAGGTAAGACATCTCAAGCAATAAAAACTGCTAAAGATGAGTATTATGTTCCCAGTCATCCTGCAAATCAACCACCCCAAAACCATGCGATATCCTACGATAGCTTTTCTCCTAGCAACTTACGAAGATGCTTTAGTTTGTCGGATGGGGAAAATCGAATAAAACTAACGACCAAATTATAAAGAACTGCAGTTCATGCATGGAAGGATCGTTCTCTTCAGGGATTTTGAATGCAGAAATTAACGGTAAAGGTGGCAGAAAACGATCAAGTTGTCCAAGTAAACAATTACATTTGTCTTCTCAAAAAGACATTCATGGGAACCATTCAGTAGCATCCTTAACTGTTAGCTCAGTATCTTTTTCGAAAAACCATTTTCTAAGCCAAAATCACGGCATTAAATCAGTACCACGTCTAATTACTTCACCCCCTACTCTGGTGCGTAACTCTTCAAAGAATGGCTCGAACTTTTCTATACAACACAGTGGCCGGACGTCTACTATGCGAGATAGTGGGTTTGTAGAAGGACTACATCGCCCTTTCATATCTGGTTCTTTTATACAATCTAATTTCTCGAAATCCTCCGAAAGTTCCCGTATGCATCATAATCCTAAATCAGACAGATTTTTGCGAAAAGCGTCTATTAACTCCTCAAATCTTTGGTGGTACATAGGATCAAGCCGCTTGACACCTTCTATAAAAGCTTCCAGGCCACAATTCATTACTTCTAATAATATGTGAATGTTGTTAAGAAATGCCATTCAAACTATGCTTTCAATTTATTAACTATCAGTCAAAAGTCACTAATCCTGTTACACCTTTTAACAGTTATATATAGTGTGTTCCTTTGCATTTATCATACTATTATGCATTCAATAGTTACACTTTTTGTCTTTCCGAGATTTGAATAAACCTATTTTTTGGATGCCCTCAGAACTAAACATACAAATTTCGTAATCGATAACTCATTTTTTAACCTCTTAATTTAAATTATTTCGAAGAAACTCCTTTACTGCCATTTTTATCTCTGCTTTCTCTTTGCTGCCTTACCATAACTGTATTTTTTTAGAATTGTTTATTAGAAATATAACTGATACAGATAATTAGTTTGGCTCCAATAAATACGCGAACTCTTGTAGTATACTGGTTGATACTTTTCGAAAGCGGCATTATACTAGTCCTCTTCGAGATTAATATGATTTCCGAATTTGCCATAAAGATCTTTCTTTAAATTGTTCATGTGAACTTTGCAGTCGCTGATTCGTTCTTCGAGGTCCACCATTCGCAATTTCACTTTTTCTTTGGTTGCTGAGAGCTCTTCTCCAACTTCATCATTTGACAAGTGGAAAAATGTTTCCCCAATAAGATATCTTTTTACCTTTTAAGGTTGTTTTAGTTAATTACATAATACATATTTATTAGTAAAGTATAATAATACGAATCGACAAATCAGCTGGCCTTGTGTGGATATATAATTTGCCTAATTAGCCTTTGCTTACATATATTAAGAACCGGATTAAAAATGTTCCCAAATTGTCGAGTAAAGGACAAATCCAAGGGATTAATTAGCATGTCTTTTATTCATCGCTTTGGAATGATTTAGATGTTACGGTTCTAGATTTAGAAAGAGAAGCCATTAGGTTTTACCAGCATTCAACCATGTAGATCTAACTTGGACAGTTGTTGAGTCTATAGAAGAACAATTAGGGACAAGCCGACCAGCCACATACAAGCACTGTAATGACGTTGACAATTAGTGCTTAGAAGTTCCTTTAAGGAAGGAAAATGGATGATAGCCAGAGGTAACGAACAACCTCCATGAAAATAAGCTTAGTAATTTTACACAAGCTCTAAGTGACTTATCCATGATCTACACACCAATTTTGCGATTGTGTAGTGTGAATTCGTAACCTCGTAGGTAATTATAGGAAAAGTGAATGTAAATGAAGTATAATGAGGGCGTCATATGTCGGAGAACACATAAGTTAACCACTAGAGGTGTTTGGAGTATGCAGAAGTATGTTTTTGAATGTGAAATCACGAAATACGCTACTTCTTGGACTTCACTTCTGCAAATCTTGGAACAATGAGACAGGGTGTCTTACATCATGACCGAAACATGACAGGACATCGTGAAAGAGCTACCGTACGTCTATTCTGCTTCTAAAACCTCACAGAGATGATTATTGAGATGGTCATAATTAATTCAAGTGAGCTCTCCTAAGCTTTGAGAACAAGGTTTGAAAGAATATTGATCCAGTGGTTTTTAACGGTTAGAACGCATGTTACATATCACAAACTAATATAAGCAACGTTGTACACAAAATTAGGACAATAGAATCAGAAGTACTGAACGCAGGATCCACATAGACTTTCAGTGACATAAAAAGTGTCTTATACATAACTAAATGATTCTAGACGAAATAAAAGCTTTCGCTTAACAGGCTTTCGTAACTAGCAATAGTGGATCACCGGCGTGTCCAGGTAGGAACCTAGTTATATTTAACAACGAAAAGAAAGAAATAACTAAATTATAGCGAGATATTGTCTTTAGAGATAAGTCAGGTTTTGTCTTAAAGGACTCATGGTAAGGCTCTTTGACTACCTTAGCTGGCATCAGATCCCAGAACTTGATCACTCGTAATAAGTACAAAGTATGCCTACAATCCATTCTGCTACGCATCTCTAATTTCTGAGTGTTACCCTAAAGGTTTGTGTTAGGATTAAGCTTAAGTAGGTAGTTAAAGTGGTCCCCAGGGGTGCTTGGAACACCATGTCACTAGTTCATTTCTGCGATGCCTATACTCTAGTGCGTTAATGTTAAGTAATTTGAGGTGCTCGTCATAAGGCTTGAGTTTAAGTCCCCGAACTGATTGCGTGGCTCATCGTTGGATACGTTTCAATGTACTCTAGTCCTTTTTGAGTGAGGGAGCACTATGTTTTTATACTCTAAGTAGGGTCAAGTAAAACTGTTAAACTTAGTGAAGAGTTCTGCCGTCGAACTGGTCAAAAATGCGCCTTAACGCATTTGTCACATTGTATGCTACAGGTAACAAAAAAAGGCATCCAGGTCGCTTACACGAGTTCACCATGACCATGGTGAAATGTGGGTTGTTAGGTAGATCCTATAAAGTTTGCGACCAAAAAAACACACAGAGAGAGTGGAATGGATAAACAGATGGTACAAGAGTTTAGGACATACTAAAACTAGCAAATCACGTTAGGACTAAGTTTTCCATTCGTAGAGCGTGTGGTCCCAGATAACTGCGAAGAGTTAGATGGTAGCTGGTAGGTATTTGAAGAAGCAAATCAGAGTAACAACTTTGATTTGCAGTTATTATTGAGGCTAGTGTATGGTTCAATACATCGACCACTATGTATAATAAATTTGTGTACATGTAGGGATAATATCAAAAATATAACGGACGTCAAGAGGATACGGGTGTGAGCTCTCTTGGACGACAACTAACTCATCCTCAGCATCATTCAGATTCGCCAGCTCTTTCTAAAATTCATTATTACATACAGACAAAATATATTCACACCTTTTTTTGGTCGTAATCGGATGTATAATCTTTAAATTTTAAGTTCCACGTTGCAAAGCTGTTTATTCTTTGTTGATCCTCATGCGTAACTTCAATATCTTCCTAGCTATAGTGATCAAAACAAGCACTTGACATACCGACATAGCGAATCAACAGGTGACCTTGAGTGGACAAATTCACCTCTCAAACTTCAGTGGTAGGAATCATGAGTTGACTTATATTAAACAAATAGTTGTGAACGCATTGGAAAAAGCTTTCAATCATCAGTCCTTCGTACCTTGTAACAAATGAACACATATAGATTATTTTTGTCAATTGCACTTTGTTGTTGTTATCAAGTTACAACCGTTAAATATGTGCTTAAGCGTCTGAAATAATAATTCGGTAACTACGTCGTCCAGAGAGTGAAAAATAGTTCTTGGTTATGTGGCGCGGAATAGCAAGTCAAATTTTGAACCGGAGGTTCTCGTCACTGCTTCATAGTACATAATAACCTGTGCAGTATGAAATCCCAAATGCTACCACATTAGGTTGTGGGTGGATTAGTCAGAAATTTACTTAAATTTTCAGAAGTAATGCGCCGGTTCAGCTACATATTACTATCAATTCTGCCAGGTAAAAAAACATGTACGTGTTGTTAATGACGAAATTCCTTCAAGGACTAACACAGGCCTTCTGTCCTTCCCAAACTGAAACTGATCTTAAGTCTTGGTCAACAATCTGCTTAAGGTATGTGAGCTTTTTAGGCACTTCTGCAAAATGCGAAGACGGATGTTAGTGAAGTGGACATTCCAGGATATATCGGAGTCATTAAATATCGTACAAACTTTGCAGGCTAGTTTACAACATGAATCCCTCACGACCTACTTAACTCAAACTGCTCCGTCATAAAAAGGATAGTAGTATATTGGTAAATCACTGAGATAATCGACACCTATTGTGACCGATCAGTTTCAGTAAATTAGATAACTTCGCAACTGTTCAACGAATAACTGAATGCAAAATCAGCGTAAGGATAACACGCTTTCTCCATGATAATATGGATGTTTATGTATCCATGTTCCCCATCAGTTTTTATCATTGTGAACCTTTGGCTATGTCTGAAGCAGTAATTTATATATCAGCTCAGCCCATTGTAAATAGATGATTTTTGGTGGCACTTTTTGGTAACATCAGCTACTTATATTCCCTCTTCCCTTAGTTTCACTGAAATAATACATATCGATATGAAGTCCAGCACCTCTTTCCCTAATAAAAAATTATGCATTGGAGTACCCGAAACATAACACTCGTCTCTTGTAGTACATTATAAGAAATTAATAAAAGTTTCCCTTCTCATTCTCAGACATAATCAAAGTGGTAGGGAAGCGACAATTATCAAAAGAAGGATTTCTTACTTATGTGGGTTTCAAAATGGTCCTAACTTAAACTAAGTTGCTAGGATTTATATGTGCAATAGGAACACTTTAGATATATCGTGGCACTAAATGACAGATCCCCATACTAAATCATATAAACGGAGGCACATCACTCACGACAATCGGTTTATTTCCACAAATAACAACCGACCAACACATCACACGACCGAAGGCAGATGCTAAGCATCGTAGACTATGATTTCCCGGAAGAAGCTGGACATATCAACCTAATGTTGACCGAAGGGAGATACGACACCAGTGCTCACTTAGTCTATGTTTATGAGCGTCTTCGATGACATACGTTGAGTAGGTAAAGACAATACCCTAAGAGAGATCTCTCATTATCAGCTATCTCAGCGGAACAGTAGGGCCAGGAGGCCACGACTTAATACATAGAAGGACCCATCCTAATATGTCATCGATTAAGACCCTAGTGACAAATCAGTCGAGAAACCAAGCATGATCGATTCCCAGAAGCAATACATACACAGCATGGTTACTGATGTACCTTACAATTGACTACGCAATCGAAAAATACTAACACAATGGTGGAAGTTGTAATGCCACTTCGACACCTTTAACATTTTCATCCCAGATCTTGACTGTTAAGAAGACGAACCAGTGCCAGAATATACACAATCAGAAATTAGCTTTTATAACACGGACTCTCTTCGGCGATTAAAAATTACGCCAAAGACGCATTTTTTTTATTGAATGTACCTCAAGGATGAGTAAAATACATTCAGAAAACTGCCAGATTACAATAGAAAAAAAATACCAAAACATGACCGAACGTTACTCTGTAGATCATTTGCGTAACCTTACTACGTCTAGAAAGTAATACTGAAGACTTTAGACTACGAGACAAACACGCACATGGACAAATGTGTTCAGTCTGATGCATACATACTAAAGACTAATATGACTAAGGCGTGTATTTCTAGGGTAACAGTCGCGAAGTCCTATGAATCTTATTTTGCTTAACTTTCAGGCACAGAAGCTATCGCGCGCAGTACAATTGAGACGAGACTCGATAGCACAACCATAAACAGACAGAGTTAACTACCTGGAATTATCTGTCCAGTTTCAGGGATGATGTGGAATAAACGACCTTTTCGAGACGCATTAGATATAAGATGAA